TTATCAAAAAGTATCCAATCGGTTCAAAACTAAGTATACCAGAGGAGATTATGACAAAAATATTGTTTTTCGAAATAAGTCGCTGAAAGAACTTTTTTTAAAGAACATTTCAACTACAAAAAATGGGTGCCTGGCAGATTCCAAAGACATGGCTTCTAAATTTCTGATAGCAGCTAAAATTAAAGGAACCTAAACCGTCACGCATGATTACGCTCACTGTTGAAATACTGTTTTCTATTTTAATTGAGGCGTTTGCAATTTCTGAGCATTGCCTTAATACACCACCGTAATCATCAAACAACTTGAGCCTCCTACACTGCCATGGAAGGCACTCTTGAAACTTGACCCTTGAAGAAGTATCCGTATGACACTAGCAATCTGTTCAAACTAAAGCCAATGTTACAAAATATCTCACCGGAAATGAAAGAAGAAATACCACGGAGAATACAATATCCTGTATTGCAGAGATTAGGAAAAAGTATCTGTACGAATTCATCTTTTTCAGGGGACAGTATGAATATACGATGATTAGAATTGCGTTGGTCATTAGAGATAGTGCCGAAATTGTATAACAAATAAATGGGAACACTTCTTCTGCGAACATAGCAAGGTTAGGCTTGATGTGAAGAGCAAAAATCTGGGCTGGCACTTTGTGAACTGACCACAGATTTCATTTTAATAAGAGCCTATTTTCTTTTATTTTTGCCATGTAGCTGGTTTTTAATGCTAGATTGTTGTCGAATAATTGTTATACTGATAACCGTTTGAAAAATAAAAACAGGGAAATAAATATTGCTCAAGGCGAAATCGTCGTCTAGATCGGAAGTAGGTTACCAAAATGGAATTACGGATAGGACAAGGACAAGTACGGGTTCGAGTGCCGTCCAAGTCTGGATTTTTGTACATAAATCCCCAACCTTGTGAGATTACAGATAGGATCCTGAAAGGAATGGTGTATTGTACTCTGAAAACTTTAACTTCTGAGTAAGAGTGAGTGAGCGATTCCTTCCGCTGTAAGTGTTCGGCAAGGGTAACCGTCAGAGAATTGTGTTTCTACTTGCACGAAAGCAATCTCTCACATTCATAAAGCAAACTGAGTACGTGGTTTTCCGTTGAAAGTGTTTCTGCGATGAACTTATGCAGCAACGGCAACTTCTACACTCTTGAGATTTTTTTTCAAATTACATGAACGCTTCCTTACTTGCGACCCTCTGAAACGTTGCTATCACTCGGGCTTAATAACGATAGAACGGTGAGGCCTGGGTTTCTTTCAACAAGAAAGGAATCCAACAGTCCCTTGGTAGGATGTAAAAGGGGCTTAACCATTCATATCCTATCAAGGGACTGAATTGAGAGAGTAGTATACTACTTTAATATACTTTTTGAGATTCACTTTAGTAATGTAGGTAGCGAACACACTGTGAATTCAAAGAGACTCATTTTATTTACACATACA